AATACTTGCTAAAAACAGATTTGCCAAAAGGCTACCTCTAAAATTAGTCGTATTTCCTGCTCTGCAAAACATAGTAAATTGTATTTTTAGTAACTCCTTCACTCCAGGTATCTGGCATTGTTGTGCTCTAAGCGTGATTACTGGCAACTCACTAAGCAGGCAACCCTTGTTTTTAGCCTAAAAATAGCTCCAATGAAAGTGATAAACAGGCTTACTTTTTTAACCAAGGGTTAGAACAAGATATTTAAACATGTTAACGAATCATTTTATGTACCCAACTTTGTCTCTTACAAAGACTTAATTACAAAAGAAGGTCATAGTGGTATTGACTGTCCTTGTTTTGCAGCTTTGCCTACCAAACCAGCTATATCTGAGCTATACCTACACTTTTCTTGATTGATCGAGCTTTTCCAACTATATTTTATCTATTTTTTTTAAATGTAATAATAACCTATTATGTGCCATAGACTGTGCATTTCATAGGTATCAGGAACCAGCATCAGTGGCAACCAGCACAACCTCTCTGGGTCTTTCAAAGTCACTACTTGATACTCTTGCTTAGCAACTTTGCTCTTTGTCTCAAAGCCACAGAGAATGATGTTTCAGAGTCTGATTTTGTGGTCATTTTTCCTGGTCCAATCAACAACTCACATTTAGACAAAGGCACTTGGCCCTGACTGAGAACATACCAATTAAGAGTTTCACATGACCAAGTGAACTACTTATTTTTAAAGCCAGCTTAACAGCGACTGCACTAACTCAAAGCTAAAGGAGGACAAAATTAGGTCTCAGCCCAATGCCATCCTTTCTTTTCAAGCAATAAAAGGGCCATCTAAATTCAAATGACTTCCAAACAAACAACTTCAGAGGAAAGATGGGCAAAACCCTGTCCTGAAGGCAGTGGTGACAAAGGGAGCCTCTTGATAAAATAAGATTGAAGCCTGAAAAAAAAGCCAGGAAAAAGTGGTTCCTTTTGGATGGCCATCTAAATTCAAATGACTTCCAAACAAACAACTTCAGAGGAAAGATGGGCAAAACCCTGTCCTGAAGGCAGTGGTGACAAAGGAAGCCTCTTGATAAAATAAGATTGAAGCCTGAAAAAAAAGCCAGGAAAAAGTGGTTCCTTTTGTCATATGGAGAAATGTGTACCAAGTCAAACACAACACACACAGACACACACACACACAGAGACACACACACACAGACACACACATACACAGACACACACACACACAGACACACACACACACACACACACACACCCTGCACCAAATGCTCTCAACCAGCAGTACTCTGGAAAAATGTGTATCAAGTCAAACACAACACACACAGACACACACACACACACACACACACACACCCTGCACCAAATGCTCTCAACCAGCAGTACTCTGGATTTTGTCGTAAATCACCCAAAACAAAGTGCATAGTTTGAGAAAGCAGCTATAAAACAGGCCAAACTTGTGGTGTCCCTCATCTTCCCTTTGTCTGTCCCCTCTTTCAGCTTTTTCATGAACTGATTCCCCAAGACAAACTGCCTGGTATTCTTCCCCTTGGGGGGTGGGTTGGGGACGATACACCTGTTTCTCACTACAGTATTCATGACTTCATTCCCCTCCCAATGTGGTCTGTGTCCTTTAAACAAGAAAGAAAAGGAGAAAAGTGAAGTGCTTTATCCGAAAAGTATGTGCCCCAAGAAAGGAGGAAGTAAGGGGGGGAAGAGACCTTCTTGGGTTTGATGACTCCCTTCCTCTGGGTCCTTTCTGCATCGAGGTCTCTCACTTGAGAGACCGTAAGTAACCCTTCCCCAAACCAAAACCTTTTAAATAGCTCACCTTTTAAAAAGAACTTCAGGTTGCAAACAGCCTGAGGTTGACTTCACCTTTGTTTTGCCCTTATCCAATACCCAAAACAATACCCAAAGCAAGAGCGGGGATCAGGTCTCAACTCCAATACTTCCCAAGCAAAGCCATGCACAAAAACAACAAAAATCATTTTAACTTCTACCATCTGCTAAAGCCCAAATCCATTACTTTAGCATTTAAAGTGTTGGATTTGGAAGATAAATGCAGTGAATGACACCACTGTTTCTTTAAAGCCAGCAACCGAGTGAACTCAAATCCAGGTTTCTCCTAGTGCCTGCAGTCCCTGGAGCACCGATTCTCAGGGCTGGAAAACGGCACGTCAGGAACACCAAGTTGTTCAACGTGAACGTTCCTCCCCCACCACCTCCTCCACCCTAAGAACGATCTTCCTGAACTAGATCAAATCAGTTGGTCCAGGGAAATAATTTTACATCCAATAATTCCTCCGCTCATTGCAAAGATGAAGTGAAACTCATCACTGAAGAAAAATGAGATGGGAGGAAGAGGGGCGGGAGCACCCGGGGGTACAGCGAGGCTCCTCCTTTGGATCCCATTTGGGCAGGAATTCCTGCATTCAGGGGTGCCCAGTGGGCCCAGCACAGAGCTCCCGAACCCAAACACTGGGGGTAGCGCCTGAGACCTGAATACATCTCCAGACAGTTCAGCCAAGGCCAAGAGCTTATAAGGAGCAAAAACGCACTGGTGAGGCGCCAAGGCACAGCAGGACAAGGGAAAGTGGAGAGGAGCCAGAGCAGCCGGCGCGCAGGGCAGGAAAGAAGGATGTACTCGTAATGTTTGCCACGATGTTGTCAGCTTAAAGACTCGTCTCTTTCTGCTGCATTTAGAGAGGAAATATTGCACGACCAGACTGAATCCTACACGTTTCAAATGAAAATAAACTTCCACCACCCGTGCCAACAGGAATTTACACGCAAAGGGAGCTCTCTAACTAGCGAACCGTGGCCTCGCAGCATCCGCGCGCCCTGAACAAACTCGTGCTGTGCAAATCAGACGGGCACGCTAGGAGTGTCCCTCGCTGCCTTTGGACTAGAATGAGGTTTGGAAGTTTTTTCTTCCTTGAAGAGTTACTCAATTCAGTGAATTCACAGCGAACACTCCCTTTTTGCACAGAAATTCAGGCAAGAGACACTTTTAAAAACTACTCACTCTAACCCTTACCCAAAATAAAGGGGTGCTCCACTGGGAATAACTATATATAGACGACAAATTACAAAGGAGATGGAGACCTGCACTTATAAACAAGGGGCTCCAGGACCAAGTGGGGAAAGGTGGAGGACTAAGGTAAGGGGAGGCTAGGAACAGGCCGGCAAGGCAGCCTGGCCCCTGTAACCAGAGGTCTCGTAGGCAGCCCCAGGCTGGGCAGAGGGTCCCAGGACAGAGGGCGGAAGGGTTTGGTTCTCTGACTACTTGCTCAGTGAGGAAGCCCTGAGCTCAGTACTGACGATTCCCTGATCAACGGGCTACAAAAAGAGGCTACTCTCTCTCCAGCGCTGAGCAACCCTCAGCCTGGGAGGGGCCCTGAGTCTGAGATGACATGAGCTTGGAGCAGCCCCAGCCTGGAGTAGCTTCAAGCGCGGGCAACTCCCAGCCTGGGGCAGCTTCACAGCCTGGGATGAACCAGCCTCAAAAGTAAGTCACCACCTCCTGGGTTTCTTTTCACAGATCTAAGGTGTAACCTGCCCCTCGCCTGGCAAGGGTTCACAACCACCTAACTTCTACCAGGGCTGGAAAGGTGCCCCTCCGAGATTTTAGGGGGGTCCTCCTTTCCTTTCCCCTCTTGTAGAAAGATAAGAAGGCATCTCCCAATCTCTAAAGCTTGGAAGAATCTGTGCAGTTCTGTACCTGCTAGAAACAGGGTCTTTACTGTAGCTCCCACCCTGGGGCTGGAGAGATTGGAGGGGTTGGGGAGATGGATAGAGAGCTGTAGGGGTATGCGGGAGAGTAAAGTTTGAGAGATGGGCAGGCGGGGGTGGGTGAAAGCCCTCCCCTGAGCACGAAAAATTCCCTAGCAGCCAGAGCCCACAGGCGGAGAGGAATGTTCCTAGGGTCTCAGCCTTCCCCCACCTCCTCCCAGAACCCAGGAGGGGAGTCAGACTCTAAGCTCCCCCAAAGGCTGGCTAATCAGCTCTCCCGCCCCGAACTTATGGGCCCACGTCCTCTAGCCCTGGCCCCTGCCTCTCCACTGATCTGCCGCCCCTGCCGGCGGGGGGAACAGAGCGCCCCGACCCCCCGCGCTGATGTCCGCCAGGCGGCACCCTTCTACGAGCAGAAAGGCTACGCGGGACGGCTGCGCGGGTAAATCAGCCCCCTCCCCCTCCCGGGGAAAAGGACCCCAGACCGCCCGTCGGGAAAGGCCGAGTGACCCGGCTGCTAGGGCCTGAGCGCGCGATTGGTTCGACCCCTCTTTTAACTCGAGAGGAAAGCCAGGCGGAGGGGAAGGCGACCGGCCCGGGACGACGCAGCGGGCTTCCCAGGGCCGTGCCCCCCCGCAGGGTCCCGGCCGCGCCCTCCCACCCCCGATGCCCCCACCCGAGGGCGCCCGGGGGCTCACCTTCTCTCCGGTCAGCACGTGCAGCCCCTCGCGCACCTTGGCGAAGGAGCCCTCGCCCAGCTTCCTGCTGCCGATGAGGTAGTTGCCCACGCGCTTGTGGTGCTGGAAGTCGCGGAGCCGCTCGCGGGGCACGCCGCTCACCCACGCGGGCAGGAAACTTCCCTCGCAGGCCGCCGCCGGCCTGGCCGCGTCCTCCGCGCCTCCACCGCCCCCGGGCGCCGTTGGCCAAGAAGTTCTTTTGCAGAAGGTCGCCCGGGCCTCTTTCAGGACACCGGGACCCGCCCCGGGTCCTCTCCAAGAGGCTAATGACAGTCGCCCTGTTCGGGTGCGCGGGAGCCGCGCTGGCGGGGGAGGGGCGCGGTACGGTGCCTGGGTCTCGGAGCCCGGGCGCCTTCGCAGCCTCCGCCTCGCCGCCACCGTCTGGCCCACACAGGCTCGGGTCCGGCTAGCTCGCTCCTAACCGTGCGCCGGGCGGCCGCTCCCGCCGGAGAGAAGCGCGCGGCGGGCTGCAGGCGCCCTCTGGAAGGCAGCAGAAGAAAGCCCCATTCAGTTTGAATTTGCAGAAATTTAATCCGATCGCGGGCGGCGGGAACAGATGCGAGCTCCACTCCGCAGCCTGTGCACTTTCAAATCCCTCGTAGCCCCTCCTTCCCCGCGCGCAACAGCCCAACTCGACCCTCGCTGGAGAGGGGAGGGCCCCGGGAGGGGAGCGGCGGATGGGCGGTGGAGCCACCTGAGCGCCAGACAGGGGGACCCTGCGCGGCCTCGGAGACGCGCGCTCCCGGGCACCCCAAGTCGGACAGCCTTGGGCTGTGCCTCTCACCCGGATTCTGGGCTTGGACTTTCTGGACCTTTCGGCGGTGAAATCCCCCACTAGCCGCACCCACCCGGGGCGGGGAGAAGGGAGGGACACTCTCGAACCTCGTGGACTCTGGGTTGGGTTGGGTGCCCAGCCCAGAACCTGGCTCACAGTAGGGCCCCCTGGACCCTGGATGGATGGGTGGAAGGAAGGATGGGGAAGGTGGCCGAGCGTCTGCCTGGGTTCGCACGCATACGGGATTGCTATGTCGGAGGAGGAGCAGCCCCAACAGTAATAGTAGCAGCAGCAACGTAGGAAGCAGGGCGTTTGCTGCCTCTGTCTGTACGCTTACACCTTCTTTGCCTTCCATTGAAATGATGCCCACGTTTGCAGGACGAGGGGGACCAGCGCTCGCTGCTCCGCGATGCTTTTGTTCTGTGAGCGCTGTGACCGTGCTCATCTCTCATAAACAATTGCCCCTGCCCTGACGACTCTCACCTTCTCCAGGATGCGCAACGTCTTCTCAAACAGAAAATGAAGAATCTTTTGAGGGAGAAGCTGGAGGATAGGTAGGGAGAGGCATTTACCAAATGCTACCTGTTGAGATGCCCGCGTTTAATGCAAACTAAACCCCTGATCACGCAACATCGAAGCTGAAAGGGAGGATTCGGTCCTAACAAACTTCCTTTCATTGTTTACTTCTCAGTAAACAAGCATGGCAGCGACCCGCCTCAGTGCTTTTCAGATGGGGATGGGGGACAGCAGTCATTAATCCAATGACTTGGGGGCTCCTTGATCCATCTGAATAGTGACCCAGAGAAACGCCTATTTTAAATAGGTCTAATTTAAAATATGCTACTGTATTCATCTACTTACATGTTACAAGTCACCAGCCTCAGTTATTGTGACTGAGCATATTATGTTTTCTGTTGGTCCTCTCATTGTTCCCATTTTCCTATATTAAAGATACACATTAAAATATTTTCCTTGCTGTGCTTAAGGGACTTCTTTGCACCCACCCCACCCCTACAGTTTCTTCAAAGTCCATGCAATCGCTTTAATGTCTATAATTCAGTAATCAGTTTTAAGAGGACAATTACATGGGAGGGGGCATGGTGACCGGCACAGTGCCAGCAGAGTAGATGTTCAACAAATGTTTCATGAATGACGAATATGGAGCTCACTTTGAGGTCAAAACCATTCTGAATCTTCTATTACAAAAGGTTTTGGGGTTTCCTCAGTGTTATATTAATAGAGTATGATTTTTTAAATTTTAGGACATTAACTCTTTACGAAAATTGAGAGATTTATTTATTATGGTTTAGGGCAAATGTCAGACTGTTCATCAAAGTGTTGTCATGGCCTAAAAAAGAAAGAAAAAAGTTTCACAAAAACGGTGGAAGACATTTACAACGAAATAGAGATTTTCTTTCCATTTAATTATCCTCTCAGGGTAGAGGTCAGGAAAGGGGTAAAGAAGAGAGAAAAATCCATGCCCGTTAAATCTTTTCCAAGCCTACTGCCTGGGTTTGATTCAAGTTCACTGCTAATTCCATCAGCTGGGATGGAGGCCAAAGAGAAGTCCAAATCCTATCCCTGCCTAGGCTTAGTAACTGGTTTTTGAACTACAGGTCCTATTCTCTGCAATGACCTTGTTCCACAGGGAATAGCTCCAGAAATTGCTTTATATAAGACAAATTAGTACACAGAACAATGTATTGCCCTAGTATTAAATATGCAAAAAAAATCTGATTGAATAGTAGTCCAGCATTGAAGATTCTCGACTAATTAGCCTAAACTAAATTTCTAGCCTTTTCCTTCTATGTAGTCCCCCTGGGCACTACAATTCAGCTGTCCTCATCCAGATTGGGCTTCCCTACCCCCATGCCTTTGCCTATGCCATACCCAGCCCCAATCTGCCATCTCTGACCTATTTCTACCTAGCACAGATGTTCCCTTTCCTATGAAGCCATCCTCAACCAATCAGTGCAAGAGGCTGGTCACCCCTCTGTTCTCTCTTACTAGGTATCTATCGCTCATTTCACATTCCTCTTATGTCCTGTATTATTTATTATGAATGTCTTCTCTTTTGACTCATTGAGGACAGGGGCTGTGTCTGACTTGATTGTTATTTACACTAATGCACAAGACATGGTCATTGCTCAATAAATATTTGTTGAATAAATGAATGAAAGTTACTATTCACTGATTCTCAAGTGGAGTTTTATTGCTCCTGACAGCAAGACCCCATCTGTCCTGGGGGAGACATTTCTACTGACTTTCTAAAAGCGTTTTTAGTTACATTGTTGACTGCCTTTGGGCATCAACAAATATAATCGTTTGCCTTATCAAAGATGGGCCGTTCTCCAACTTGGATGAGTTAACCCTTTAAAAACATTCCCAGTCAGGTGGGCTGGAAAGCCTCCTCAGTTGACTTGGACCGGCTGCTTCCTTCCTCCCCTTCTCCTTCCCTATCTCCTCCCTCCACATGGCTGGAAGACTGTGCTCCCACAGAACGCCAGCTAGAAACAGTCAAAGACAATTAGAAGTAATCAGGCTGGCACAGCCAGGAAATGAGAGTTGGCTGGAAGGGGTTAGGCTGGCAGAAGCTGGCTGGTAGTTGGAGAACAGATAGGAAAGCAAAGACAGCAGGCATGAACAATCTTTGCCTGGAAGACATCCTGTGAACTCTGTATGTTAATTCTCCCTAAACAAAGCATCCTGTAAATAATGGAGACTGGACTTGAACTGGTGTCCTCAAAGTTCATGTGCACCATTATTCTTTTTACAACATGCAGCTGTTGAATGTGCACCATGCAAAGGCTGAGGAGGAAAGGATTCCTCAGTCATAAAGAAGGTAACCCAGAGTGCTATGGAGAGCAGGCTGTTGCCAGCACCCCACAATGAAGTACTTCCCTACAAATAAATTGTGATGACTTGCTTCTCTGTGCCTCAGTTTCCATAACCTGTAAAACTGGGATAGTAAAGAATTGTGAGAATTAAATGAGATTATGCATATATAGCACCTAGCTCGGGCCTGATACATTGTAAGCACATGATGAATTTTAGCTCTCACTCCTTGTCCTTCAATGCTACTATCATCATCACAACCCTGAGAGAAGTCACTCAAGAATGCCCCAGAAGTCCACAAACATGCCCCTGTTACTGATGAGTCCCAAAGCATGATCTCCACATTGGATCTCTTTACTGAATCTACAGTCCTGTGGAGCAAAGACAGCAGGCATGAACAATCTTTGCCTGGAAGACATCCTGTGAACTCTGTATGTTAATTCTGCCTAAACAAAGCATCCTGTAAATAATGGAGACTGGACTTGAACTGGTGTCCTCAAAGTTCATGTGCACCATTATTCTTTTTACAACATGCAGCTGTTGAATGTGCACCATGCAAAGGCTGAGGAGGAAAGGATTCCTCAGTCATAAAGAAGGTAACCCAGCGTGCTATGGAGAGCAGGCTGTTGCCAGCACCCCACAATGAAGTACTTCCCTACAAATAAATTGTGATGACTTGCTTCTCTGTGCCTCAGTTTCCATAACCTGTAAAACTGGGATAGTAAAGAATTGTGAGAATTAAATGAGATTATGCATATATAGCACCTAGCTCGGGCCTGATACATTGTAAGCACATGATGAATTTTAGCTCTCACTCCTTGTCCTTCAATGCTACTATCATCATCACAACCCTGAGAGAAGTCACTCAAGAATGCCCCAGAAGTCCACAAACATGCCCCTGTTACTGATGAGTCCCAAAGCATGATCTCCACATTGGATCTCTTTACTGAATCTACAGTCCTGTGGCCAACCATCCTCATATCCTCCAGGCTGTCTGATAAGATCTCAGGCTTAACCTGGGATTACCATACATACACACACACCTGCTACTTTCCTAGGGCCTCACCCAAATACTGAATCTACAGTCCTGTGGCCAACCATCCTCATATCCTCCAGGCTGTCTGATAAGATCTCAGACTTAACCTGGGATTACCATACATACACACACACCTGCTACTTTCCTAGGGCCTCACCCAAATTTACCCCCAAATCTAGCAGCCATCCTTTGCTTCCTTCCCCTCGTGACCCTCACTCAGCAAGTCCTACAGCCTCTACCTTTAAATTCCACTCCATCCCAGCCACACTAGCCTGTGTGTGAGGCCCACCCCTAAGTGAGCCCTTTACATTTTCTGTTCCTAGGAATATCTTTCTCCCAAATATCTACAGAGCTGGGATACTGAGGATATTGGGGGATCACCATCTTCCTGTCTTTGCTCAAATGTTACGTTCTCTGTGTGCCTTTTCTTTGAACTTTTTTCTACAATGCAGACTTCTCCCAGACTACTCCCCCATCTCCCTGTGTCCCCCTCCCTGTTTCATTTTTCTTCCAGGCACTTATTGCCATCTGACAGATCATACAGTTTCCTTCTTTATCTTGTTTATAGTCTGTCTCCCTCCCTAGAATGTCATCTCCAAGAGGACTGAGATTTTGATTAAGTATACTATGCATGGTGACTGGCCCCTGGAAGATACTTAATGCAAATTTGTTGTGGTTGAGTGAATTTGTAATTTACAGGGTCTCTCATTGCAGAAGGGGAGACAGAAATAAATGAGAAGGCAGAAAAGAGAAACACAACAAAACTGAGTCCTATTGGAGAAAACACACATCATAAGGGCATATTGGAAAAAATCAATAGTCATGCCACAAAGATAAATCTCCATAACAAGCACCATGTTTGTATTATGCAAGAAGGGAAAGGTTATTGTTAGCACTAAGGCTTATTTACAGCCTCTGGTTAGGTGCTAACTCCTGTCCATTCTTATTGAGGACTGGTCAGAGCTCACAGCAGCAAGTGGTCTGCAGTGGGATTTAGAGTGAGCACTTGCAATGGGCAGCTCCACAATGTGGCCAGCTGATGGAGAAGCAGTGAGAGCACTCTGGAACTGAGCCCATTCACCACAGGACAGGTCACTCAGGCCACGGCAGAAGCCTGCCTGGCAGTCAGGTGGACACATGCAGACAAGAGGCAGGCGCCCCCTGCTGGTGGAATCGGCCCTGCTTTCCCTCCACAGCCTAGAGAGGAAGTCCGAGGAACCACAGAGAGAACCTAAACTGGAGACCAGAAACCCCTCCCCACAGCTCAGTGGCCCTGGCAGGGCACTAATCATCTCTGAGCATCTGCTTTCTTCATCTGGAAAGGGAAGAACTTCTCTCTGTCATTCCTAAGTCCCAGGACTGTTGCCAGGATAAAATGAGGCAAATATATGCAAATATGCAACAAAAATAAAAACTATTTTGGTTATTGTTCTTAGCACAGCAGTCTTAAATCAAAGTGGAACATGTCTACATATAAATTAGAAAACAATAAACTTAAAATGAAACAAAGAGTGAATGGTTGATAAGCACTGGTTGTTCAGGGCCTCTTCCTTCCATGATGGAGGATTTCTGGTGGACACTAGGATGGCATGTAAGTATCTTTATGCCGTGTACCACTGTCATAGGTCCATCCACATACACGCCTCTACCACAGAACTCCTTAGCCTTGATCTCTGAGTTTTTCTCTTTCCAGGCCTCTCATCAACTGGTCAAGCCATTTGTTACTGTCAATGAGTCTGTGTGTATAGAAAAATAGATGATAAATATATAGACAGATTATAGATAGATAGAGAGAGAGATGACATCTAGATAGAAACATAATAGATGGATGATTGATGGATAAATAAATGATAGATGATTGATAAATAGATCAACAGATAGAAGGCAGATAGATAAATAGATTATTAATAGATAGATAGGTAATACATAGATATAGTTAGATAACAGATGATAGACTGGATAGATAGATGATAGATATAGATAGAAATAAAGAGATAGATGATAGGTAGATAATGGACAATTGAAAAATAGATGATAGGTAATTGATAGATCAGTAGATAGGTGACAGATGAACAGATAGATGATAGACAAAGAATAGAAAGGCAAGTGACACCTAGATGGATGATTGATAGATAGGTAGATATAGGTTGATCAATAGAGAG